GCTAAAGGGAATCGAGTAGCCCTCGACGTGGGAGCTGTCCACTGTCTCGGTGCTGAATGACGCCCTACTTTTCCTTCGCGTCCATCTCCTTCCTCCTCAGCATCTCGCCTCGACTCAGGCCCGGGAAAGAAAAAAAAAAAAACATGCCACCTGTTGCTGCACCAGAGTTTCGCTCTCTCAGGAGGTTATAAAGCCGGATAGATGTCTTATATCTCACACATGTAACCTACAACGGCGCTGGTCTTGATCTAAAGTGAGGTCAACTTTCATGTTTTCTGTTTTCTTTGCTCAAATCACGGCAACACGACGACATGATAAACATTCCCCCCCCCCCCAGGCGAGGCAGGAAGAGGAATGGGCTGTTATTTTAATTTCCCATACACGCAGTATGGGTTTAAACAGCCACGTTGAAAGATGTGCTCCAAGGCTTTCCGCTTTTATAGCTTTTTAGTGTTTGTGTTTTTTAAATTCTGAAGTGCAAAGAAAGGAATAGGTAACCTTTTAACGAACGTGAAACACATGCTTAGCCTGTAAATACATCAACTAACCATTGGTTAGTTGCAAAAAAAAAAAAAAAAACATGCAGGACAAACCCTATAAGTGATATACTCACCGTGTGTCGACGGGAACAACAGGTGAAGCCGACATAATGTTGTTCAGCGTGCTGGATGAGTAGCCGAGGCTGCGGCTCTTTCACTGTTCAGCTTTCTATTGAAATCAGCCACGATCTGAGCGCGTGCGCCCTCCCATTTGAGCTCCACGTAATGCTTATCATGATGTTACTGGGTAGGCTGGAGGAAGATGGATCAGCGTGTTTATATACGCCTGCTGCTGCCGGAGAACACAAGCAGGGGGGCGGGACAATGTGGAGTGGCGACAGGGGGAGGTGGCCAATCAACGTGGCTCTTTTTCAGACCTTGTTAAGGGTGCGGCCCCAAACCCAAGCAGCCAAATTACATTATATAAAGGTTAAAGATGCATATGAATTAAACATATGGAGGCTTGGGATATACGTTGATGATGGAGAATATTTGTGGTTCTATTTATGGACAGACTGATAGCTACAGGCAATAAATCAATGCAGTATGTCGACCTTGTTTCTGCACGTAATTTTTAAACTGATGGAGGAAAGACAACTCACACACCTCTCCCCACACACACCACACACACCAGACACAGAATTCACCTGAGCAGCTGACTGTATGAGGAGCTCTTGTTTAATTGAATTAAATCTGAGCAGTGAGATCAAGATTATGCATCAAATTAATTATTCAATGGAAACAACTATGTTATATATCTGAGGGCTGTGGAAATTGCAAGTGGTAAAATTAATTGCTTCATACAGTCAGGCGGAATACAAATAAATGAATCTACCTGTATATACTCACACTCTGACTTTTTTTTTTCCAGTCAGTTCAGTCAAGCTGAAAAGAAAGTAGAATCCAACCAAAGCCAAGAAGATTGAATTCATTGGTGCAATTTTATTCAAACAAGGAAACATCACATATACAGTCAACACACTAACACATAAAGCAAGCATGAAAATGTAAAATCAACAATAAAACCTAATGCACTAAAGAATGATAGACAAATAAATAAATAAATTTGCAGTGATCCCATGGGGATGCTTTCCTATTTTTCAGAGCATAATGGTCCAAATTTAAGCAAATTACACAATAGTGACATTAAACTGTTACTCATTGTTTTTCGACCTCCTTTGCAGTGTAACACTAGATGTAGGCTGGCAGGGTAACAAAGAGTGATTTAAATGGGCAACTATTAGATATTTAAAACGAGTTTGTCTTTAAAATTTACAGATTTTTGTTCCATTGCAGTGCTGACTGTGAAACTGTTCAGTGATCACAATCAGCTGAGTTAACTTGTCCTATCTGAACCAGAGGAAACCGTGACCTCTCCAAATGTTCCCTAATAAAATAAGTTTAATATTTTACATTTCAACTATAATAAGACTATTGTGAGGCATCTGCATTAGTCTGTACGGAAATGCAATGCAGCCAAAATAATTTCAATGCCAATATACGAGCAGAAAAGTCAACATTAAAGGGCTCATTTTCCATTCCAATTTTCAATTTTCATTTCCAAAATTAATCTTAATATTTGAAAAGCTGCACTTAAGATGAAGGTTTCTTTAGGACCAAAAGCTCCTCATTCTAGGGGAACCCATTCATGAAGCAGCCAGCCTTGACAGTTTAACTACCCTTTTTCGAAGGAACATGTTAAATAAGAAAGACATCATAATAATATCGTTTGTGCTGACTATGTATGTAACAAATTTGCTTTGAAGTAACTCATTTCATGTTTTGCAACACAGCACCAACGGACAATAACAATGTAACAACTATTCACCCGCATATGTGTAACTGTTCATAAAAACATTTTGATAACGTGCAATTTATGCAACTAGTATCCATGCTATTTTAACATGTAGTATTGTTTTTTTCAGCTTTATGTTCAATTACATTGATGGTAACTCCATTACCAACAACATTAACATACAATTTGTTTTATGCCTCCTCTCTCTCTCTCTCTCTCTCTCTCTCTCTCTCTTACAGCGAGAACTTGTATCTTAAGCTATAATTTACCAGTGGGAATAATGAAATGTTTTTTATTCTGATTTTGGTTGATCTCCGCTCTATGTTTTTATCATTACGTCTTCTCTGAAAAGCAAATTGACAGCTCATCTTAGTTTAAAGGCTGATGAAAAACACCCCCAGTGTAATGAATGCAGAGGGGAAGCTGGGATGAGGGACCATTGTCTTTTGACACACACACACACACACACACACACACACACACACACACACACACACACACACACACACACACACACACACACACACACACACACACACACACACACACACACACACACACACACACACACACACACACACACACACACACACACACACACACACACACACAGGTGACCCTCTCTGCGCTGTTCCTTGAGGCAAAATGACCAAAAAGAAAGCCTGGTTTGGCTACAGCCATTAGTCATCACAAAAGCCTGGTTCCTTTGATATCCCTGCAGGCCAGGTCTCAATGCGGCTCAAGAGCCAAGCTTATGGAGGAACCTGGGAGAAGATCCTGCTTGTTATGTTTTGAGGCTTTACTCGTATAATGAAGATCTCACTCTGTGCCTCTTGATAGAAACATCAGGCGGTGGGATTACACATATTAGCTCACCCCCTCTGCTCTCCCCCTCTCTGCTTTCAGGGCTTAATGTTAACATCTGCCCACCCAGAGCCATCCAGATGAGCTGCAAGAGTGTGTTGAATGTCTTTATCTGATCACTATAATGGACTATGCATGTTATTTAGATGACATTGTAATGGAGTCTGAAGGGGAGAGAGGCTCATCGCTCTTTGGTGTTGGTATAGAAGCGGATTCATGAAGGACTATATTACTTGGTCTTGACAAAAAAAAACAAAAATACCTTTTTGAATTCTCTAAATTACAGATTTTTTTCAAGTTTATCCTAATTGAAGCCAAAGTTCAGCAAATTATTCAACATTTGCCCTTTTCTGATTTTTATAGCAAAATCCTCATGAGCAGAACCCTCTAAGATTCTTTTTTTTCAGGCCCTTCAGCTGTTGTTTACGCTGATAAAAATCCATTAACTGTTGAAATGTGTAAGTGAGCTTGGATTGGCTACAGGGCACAGGCAGAGGTGTTGGAGCTTTGGGAGGCGTTTAGTGAGCGTTCATTATTTTTCATTCTCTAGGACAAAACTATGCATGTGTGGGCTGGACTAGTAATATGATGGAAATTTGCAGACTTCCAGGGAGCAACATAAGCCTACATGTGTTTTCATCTCTGTCCGTCCCTGTTTATAAAAAATGTTGTGCAGCGTGACTGAGGGTGAAACAACAAAAAAAGTTACACTGGGAGGACATTTAACCTTCCACAGAGCTCTTAATTAATTCAGTCAACAATGTTACAGAACATCTTTTCTTCCAAGTGTTACATCTGAGTCTCACCTTCAAGGTAACAGGGTTGAGGTTGAGGTGTGGATGTGAAAACAGCAGTGTAGAGTTTAGTGCTGCTCTCATGTTAACGCCCTCTGGTGTTCAATGTCAGTTTGGACAAACTGGAAGCCACCATAGAAAATGTAACAGTTAGGTGACAAACAGGAAAATAAAATAAAAATGAGCAGAGGAAAATTGATGAATATTGAATCATCATTTTGTTAATTACATGTAGCTCCCCCATTATCAGAATCATCCAAAGCTCTCCATAAGTGTCATCAAATGACCAAACAAGGAATTACTTGGGCTACTTATTGACGGTAGGCCACGACTTGTTGCATCTTGGCATTGAAACACCGAAGCTGTTATGGAGGCTCATGGTGAGCTGGCAAGTTTCAGCGTTTTTCTTTTCTTTTAAAAGTTGATCAAACTGAATTTTGTAGCTCAGTGTGAACTGACTGGCAAGTTAGGAAAAGATATGCCAAAAAGTGGTCTTTAAGAATATGAAGCTTTTCAACCATGATCCCAAAACCAGTAATAAATAACACTGATTTACATAGTGCTGATTTTGTGGCTACTTTCTTGTTGTCTATAAATCCAATAAAAACCCAATCTGTACCGATTCTACTCTCTTTCTTGGTGTGTGCTATTCTGTCCCACTGGTACCAACAGAAGATTTAAAAGCCTCCAATCTGGTTCTGATTCTGGTGCTGATTCTAAATCTTTAAAACACAGGTAAGCAATGTAAGTTTGACTATTTCCTCAAAATGCAGTTATTTCTTAATCAAACATCATTTGAACTGAAATAAACAAAAGCCGAACGCTATTTTCAGCTGCACTGATCATAAATTTAGTTCTGATGGTGGCAGAACAGAAATGAAATAAGCTACACTGCTAGTGTTCATGGCAGTTAAGGATATATATATATATATATATATATATATATATATATAAACTCCATGTTTTGTAGACAGATTTTGCCAACTTTTAAGCACCAAGACATTGACATAAGGTACAAGATATGTTCATTTAATGGTTGATTATCTCTCAGTACAGAAATATTTTTTTCTTCTTAACATTCTTTCTGTAGTTCAAGATGGCAGCATTGTCTTGATTTTGAAGTGGCATTAAAAGAAATGTCCATAGAGTGTGGCAGTGAAACTGCCAATCAGGTTCCCTCACATAAAATTAGTAAACAAACATGCCATTTCTGTACACAACACAAATAAATAGCAATTGTTTATATGGGGTATGCTAGTTGACTTTAACATTCAAACAAGGGGGAAAAAAAGGAGAGAAAATGAAGCAGATTATACAATATTTTTTTTCCTTATTAAAAAACAAAGTACACTGGCACTTCTCAACACAGAAATGCTCTCAACGCTGCAAAAGAAAAGTGCCTTGAGCTTGAATATCTTAGCAAACACAGCAAAACACAAAAAAATCAGACGCTGTGCATTTCACTCCGATTAAATCCCAAATGTTTTTCTTTTTGCCTTAGTCGCTGTTATCAAAACCAGTGTTCATTTTAATGCTCTCTGCCTGATTTTCAATTGAAGAAAGACAAATGAAAAGCTTCCACACAGGTCACAATAAAAACTCCTTTTTGTCTGAGCAACTGTTCTGATGGTTATTTTCTTTTTAGATGTGCAGTATGACAATACAACATTTCCTAGTGAGATTATGAAACATGAACTGACACCGCCTGTTATGAAGATAGAATTAGATTTAAAAAAAAAGAAAAAGACATCAGTCCTGTTTGTCCAATCCCTGTTAAAACATCAACACTGGAATAAGTGATCTGTAAGTCAGTGTCCACAAAACATTATTGTCTTTTTTCGTGAAATAAAAAGATTAGTTAGGATTTTTCTGCAGACCTGAACAAAGCTAATCACACTCCACAGATACAACTAAAAACCTCAGTCACACAAACAAAAGGAAATTAACCAACCCTCAAAACAAACACACTCGCAAGAATATGTTAAAATTAGACATAAAAAAAAGAAACAGAATCAAATAAATAGACAATCAAAAGGACAAACTTATAATTTGGCAGGTGAGCGCAACACCAGTCTGTAAACAAACAAAAAAAATCACATGGGGGAAGGAAACCCGACCCACAAAATTCTCCATGTCATCAAAGATGTCTGTTTGGGGAGCCAGTGACTCCATCATATAGGAATAACTAGAATACTGTATATTTGCATGTAAAAGCCCCCTCTTTACTTGAAACTCAGGTTGTGCACCACCTCAGCTCCCACCTCCATCTACAACTTGGCTGAATAACTCCTAATAAGCCCTCTGTCGACCACTGAGGTGAATATTTAAAGAAGTGGCCATGTACAGCTTGCAATAACATGTTACATGCAAAGATAAAATTCCCTTCCTGGATTAATCCCCTCGCAGCACAGAGGCGCCCTCACTATCGGATCCTGGTGAAAAGGTTCAGCACTGACACCGATTCCTAAAAGACACACCAGGACAGAAGAAGGAGGTAAGACATGAGGAACAAAATAAAATATTTGCAAAAAATGAAGGCATTTAACAAATGGAATAGCTGACATCTAAATTTTCTTTTAGATGTGAAACAGAAATGAGAAATGGAGAGACTACCTTAGTGGATCTCATCTTGCTAAAGACGTTCCAGAAGCGAAGGGTTTCATCTCCAGCTCCTGTTACTATGGCTTCTCCATCAGGCGACATGGCCTGTAAATAAACTCATTATTATGTACAGCATTCACAGTATTTTCACAGCATGGAATCAGAACATAGAATCCAAACATAAGTGTACGTGTAACCAAACCGAATAATGGCGCGCACCTAAAATATTTCAAATTTATAAAACCGTTCATTTGCACACAATGTGCACTTTATAAATCACAATCCACCTGTAAATGTGTAGAAGCGAAATGGTCAATCCACAGCACCAAAGCAAAATGCATACAAGCGAGGGGTCAGATCAATGGTTTCCAGCACTAGATCACTGCGACAACCGGAATTTAGATGAAGAAAATAAACTTTCTGACCCAGAAATTGAGGTGCTTCTGAATGAAGTGGTGGTCGGAAAGCACATATTGTTTGTTTGCAGCAGCAGGGTCAAAAACTACCCAAAAATCAGAGAACGTCACCACGTTGCTACGTTCACACAGTCCCCGTTCAGTGCCAATTTAGCGTGGCAAACTGTGTGCACAGTGACCAACTAAGAGTAAATGTTTTACAAAAAAGTCATATATAGAAACTATGCTATGAGTATTAAGCGCATTTGATGAAGCTGCAGCTACTTTTCTCTGCTCCTCTCTGCTGTCATGACTGTGAGCATCGCGTGTGCGTGTGCGCACACGCACACACGCACACACGCACACACGCACACACACGCACACACGCACTGGAGCGCCAGCCACCACGCAAACCTTTTTACTTTTAGTGCTACAGCACACAGTTGATCCGTGATCCGTACGGACCGAGGCGGGAACACACGTGACCCGGTCAAACGGTCGGTTGGACTTTACTCCGTTCACTCTCACCGTGTCTGCAGCTAATTTAACAAAAGCAACATCATCTCACAGCAGCCTGCTGTAGTCTGTGAACATCTCCACACAGATTAAAGTTGTTTGTTGTAAACTAAATTAAGGGAAAAACATATGTGATATAAATACAAACGTAATATTAAAATGTAGCCTACCCTAAAATAAGAGTTTAAAAAAAAGTATGTCGATATTGCATTATTTTTTACAGAACTCTCATTTATTATATCTGATATTATTTTCTGTTTGTTGTGTGAGTATTAAATGCGTTTGTAGGCTGTTGGTAAAGGCTATGGCTCACTATGTGGACTGGTAGATCTCGGCAGACTGCCAACTTTAAAAGTAGATCTTGGTTCAAAAAAGGTTGGGCACCCCTGCCCTAAGTTAATGACCAAACATTCCTCATTTACATATTTACGTGCAGGTAATGAAGATGTCCTGAGTAGAAAAAAATGTTTGAAAGAACCATCACTGTGTCTCTGTGCGTCTTTTTTTTGACTCAAATGCACAATATTAGAATATATTCATAAAAACTGGTTGCTTTATAGTTTTTATGAAAACACAGAAATACAGACAGTATATACTGACCAGGTAGAGTACTCTGTAGGAATGTCCTGTTAGTTTGGCCACTTGAGTGAGAGAGGGATACTTCCACACCAGGATCTGGTTCTGGGAATAACCATGTGTGCTGACCTGTAGAAAACAAGCAAAGTGTTATTAATATACCTCAGATATAAAAGGAACATCGTCACTTCGGTTCCGTTTTACAGTCAAATAAAGTGAGCAACAATGGTCCAGCGCTGAGGTATGAATTTATGCAGCTTATCTCAGACAGTGGAAGCAGTGAAGTTGTCTTAAATCAAAATTATATAATAAAATGTATCTTCCAATTTACTTTAACTGTGCTATTTAGTTATTCCATCTAGTTATATTTACCCTGACAACATAGAGAATGCTGTGCAGTGAGAGAAAAAGAACTATGTTTCCAAAACAGAGTTATTTTTTTATTACTGTGGTGCATCTTTACCTCTATTAAAAAGTGTACATGACTCACCAGTTCATTGGTGTGCTTAGACCAGGCCAGGTTGCAGACCTGAGAGCCGGTGTCCGTGCACTGCAACGGCTGCCCTGTCAGAGTGTTCCAGAAGCGAATGCAGCGGTCGGCAGTGCCACCTCCAGAGGCGAGCAGGCCGTGCTGGTGAGGAGACCAGGCGATGGCCTTCACTGCAGCCAAGTGCTCTGTGTACTGCTGCACTGGGAGGACACTTGAGTGGTTCCACACCAGTAACTATACACAGCACGAAGAGGAATGAGGACCAGGATACTGGCAAGCAGCTCACATTCAAACTCTCAATCTCTGGATGCATACCTTGTTATCATTTCCACCTGAAGCAAGCAGTTGGTGGTCCGTGCTCCACTTAAGGCCGCACACTTCCTGTCTGTGTCCTTGGAGACGTCGCTCCGACTGAAGAGGCGGGGCCCTGATGTCACGCTGCAGAATCACTCGATCACGGCTCCCAGATGACAGCTGATCTGCATTCCAGGCCAACGCACCTAGCAGTGGAGATGAAAGGCAGATTGAAAGATGATTCACTGCTCTTGAATGAGAGATGTTGTCAATGAACAACGGAAAGGTTAATGAAAGGTTGTATTATGTTACACATCAATCCCTCAAGCTCGTCAACTCACCCACTCTGGCTGTGTGTCCTTCTAATACAGAAAGCTTCTTTCCTGCTGCTGCATCCCAGATCTGAACAAAACCTTTATGAGTCCCCACAGCCACCAGGTTACCCTAAAGTTAGAGAACACGCGTTAAATATCCCACTGACTTTAAAGAGTCTGTAATGACTTCAGACAACATTTACCAAAAACAAAGAACAGACCTCTAAATGTTTAAACTGAGTGTGCACACCAAAAATACCACACATTTTCTTCAGGTAAGACTGAGTACCTGACAATCTCTCTGTGTGTGATCAGTACTGATGTGAAACGTTACAGTAAGCAGGTCCGCTCTTCCACAAGCTATGAAAGATGTAAGATGACAGAGAAACTCACCCTCTCTGACCAGCCCACTGACGTTACAGAATCTCCTTCTACAGAAAGGTCACATAGGCGGGTCACCTAAAAAGATGGAGAAAAAAAAAAGATGAGTATGATTTAGCTCATGGAACAATTGTAAATAGAAACATTACAGTTGTTCCCCTACCATTCATTTGGAGGGGCAGCCCGACTGCACAATCTTGCACCCCTCAGAATGAAAATGCCCAAAATACTTTATTAATGGAATTCATGTAATTAATGTGCACTTGTTTCATTATGGAGGAGGATGAGCAACTTTCATGCATTTTTCTGTCCTGTCCTGTCCTGCTCGTGTGTTCCTACTGAGTGCGAGCTGAGTGTGAGGCTTATCCATGTTTCCAGTGTTGGACCTGAATGCGTCCACTGAATATGCTCATATTTTTGGTGAACTAAGTGAATCAATACGCAACTCCAGATACTGAAAGTTGCTGAGTACTATGTACCAAAGTCTGAAATGCAACACTCAATGTATCTGACATGGCATTCATCCAGTAAGTTTTTCAAAGTAAAAGCGCAATCAGTTTTTTTCTGTGGCAACTACCCGCATTTCCCTAAATGCTTTTATTCTGAAATGTTTCTGACAGTTGTCTAGTGAATGAAATCACTTTGTAGAGGTAAAACAAATAGCCTGCTGTGTGAAGCGTAATTAATATGCATATTTTATTGACATGTATTAATTATAATTAATGGTTTAACACACATTTTTTCACTCTTTCCTGAATATGACTTATCCTTTTGATATTTACAGCAGCACATTTTATAATTCATAATTTGAATAGTATATTGTTAATGGCTTTGAGTTGGGTAAAACTTGCATGTAAATGATAACTACTAGAAAGAATGGTATTACAGGAGGCCCTGCTAAAAAAAAAATGAATATGAACTTGTTCTTTTTTTTGACTGCAAACTTAGTTCAAGATTTTAATTATTAAAGTGAACTAGTTTACGTTAATGTGAGTGAACTGTACTTTTTCTGTGCAACACCTTCTCTCAAACAGTTGAATTGAGGGGAAACACGTCTCAAGTGTGGCAATTAGTTATCAGTTATCACTCGCACCTGACTGGTGCAGGCACTCCACAGGTAGACACAGGTACCAAGTCCAACACTGAGCACGTTCAGAGAGGACCAGTCCACTAGGTTGAGGTAGAAGTCATCCTGCAGCTCAGGAGCGTCCAGAACTTTGAAGGGAATTTTTGATATTTTTCGTGTAGGTTTCCTTGGCGACCGCAGCAGTTTCTGGCTGTTGTGCAAAACACAGTTTAGTGAAAAATGTATTGTAGTTTCATGCAAATTGAGAATATAACATTTGAGAACTGACTAGGAGAATGCATTACCTGTTGCTACTGACAGGTGACAGAGAATATGGAGAGACTGTGTTTCCATCCTCTTCAGGCAGGGCTCGCTTAGCACTAACAGAATACTACAAAACAAAAACAGATGATAAGTGATGCAAAAGCTTCCCAAGAAACAAGACTAGTATATTTAGAGTAAGGTCCATGTTAAATGTTTTTACACTAAAAAGGCTTCTTTTGGCGGGAGTAGACGGCTGCAGACGGCGGTCCTCTGACTGAGGGTCCTGGACTTTTTCGATCCCGGCTCCTAACAGCTCGTTTTTCAGCAGTGCTGAGTATGCAAGACCGTCGGCTAAAGGCAAAGAAAGAGACAGAGGGGAAATCAAACAAGGCTGTGGAAATGACTATGTTCAAACACTGAGCCCCTTCTGCCATTTCTTAGCTCTGTCTTCAAAGGACCAGGGAGAATTTTTCACAAGAGAGCGGACAGAGAGGGAATAAAACTCACACTACTGTACAGCTACACTAGAAAATTGTATCTGTGTTTGGTGCTGACACCAGATAACTATCTCATCTTTCTCAATTCATATTAAATTCCTGTATTAGCCTCAAATATCAAGCAATGGCAACATGCCCACATTAAAAGCTCAAAAAATCAATTAATTACAAACTAGTGAAACATTTAAATGATTGACTCTTTATCAGAACTTAATGATTCATGTTTGTGCCAATGAATTATTAAATACATCTGCAACAATTAGCCACATTATGAATGTGAACATTGACAGAAATAAAATCAGTGCTGTAAAACTAATTCATGGAAAGAAAAAACAAGTGAATATTTATCAGTAGTAGAAATAATACTTTCTCTAAAGGTAAGCACTTTCATTTTGAACAAAAAACATTTTAATGTTAATTTACTTCTTACAGGATACTGTAACACCATTATTGAGATGACAGTATGACTTTAGATTATTTAATGAACGTGGATTATTTACCTTTGTTGTTGTCTGTTGTTCCGTCTTTGGTTTTCCGGTTTTGATTGTGTGACTTTTCAATTTCCTGGACCAGAATGAAACAAACAAATGATCACTGTAAACCAAATTTCTATGCATGTTGTGTCAAAGTATTTGTAGACAAACAAATTAACAGTGGTTATTGATGACATGTTCCTCCTCAGCCATAATCCACTCTACAATGAGGAGAACACTTTTGAAAGGACAGTGAAGTAGCTTGCAGCTAAGCAAAGATCAAATGTAGGCTGGTTGATTGTAATTTCTAATTTAGGACAGAGTTCATTACTAACATTTTGGGGGTTGCACCATCTGAGATTTTCTATTTAGGCATAAATTAAACTTAAATCATACACCTACCTCCTAGAAGGTGTAAAGTCTAACATAAATAGTGGATGTCATGGTGTATTGTTTTGGGGGTTAGAATAACTTGGAGGATCAGGAGAAGCAAGAGTTTTACTTTAATTTTTTGGGACCAAAACACATTACCCCCAAAGTCTCCTTTTGAAATGCAAGAGTTTGAATTAAATTCCTGTTTTAGTTTTCCATGAGCAGAGATAATTTCATCAGTCCAATAATAGAGTACCGTTAAATTACTGTATGTTTATCGGTGAGAATTTCACTACTGGACATCACTGTTATTTTACACCAGCTGTAGATTTAAGATTGAATTATACTGCTGCATCCAACCTACACGGTATGTTCGTGTAGCTTTGTATCTACACAGAAGCCTACATACATAGCCTGACGTGCACCTCCTCAACAGTGTGCCGCTCTAGTAGTCCAGAGGAACCTTATGTCTCTATAGTGCAACTAAACAATGACACAACTTAAGTTACAAACTAACTAGTACAATGTAGTACTGTGTGGACTTTGCAGTCAAACTAAAGACAGAACTTATACATAGCTGGTGCAAGAGGCCACTGGTGTGCTGCTGCATACTCACATTGATGCGGTGGAAGTTAACACTCCAGTTGGCTCCGGCCCGGGAGGGAATGAAGCGATCACCATGCTTGCTAGGCGACGACAGAGGGGAGCTTGTGGGTGTCAGAGCTCGCATCACCCCTACAGCTTTCTACAAAAGAGAAGAGAGAGCCTTTTCTGACTGAAGGCCAAAACACAAACAGGCTTTGGACAGAGATCTGAAACTTTACGACCAAACAAGATCATTGAAGAGCCAGATGGTGCATCTGTTTGGGGTGTTTATAACAAGGGGCTACATTCACAAAACCCAGTCATTTGGCCATCTTGTTATCACTCAACACTAATGACACAGTCAGATGGAAGAGACTGGCCTGTTAAATCATTTACTCTTTCAACACATTGAGAGCAACACCCTTTCTGCTCATTGTAAGGCCTTTGCCAGTTGACAATTCTGTTTGGGAGGGGCTACCATCAGAGTATCACCAAGATAATGAATGAATTGTTTAAGTCTCAAGTGTCAAGACTGTAAGACCATGGCTGGATAGCTCTTACAAATTATTGCTTTCAGGAACTATAGGTTGAAGAAATATGAAGCTCCTTTCTGTACTAAGACTAAGAGATTATTATTATTATTATCATTACAAAAAAATACACATGATTTACTTACTATGGGACTTGCATTCTCATTTTGGATGTTGATCTGTCTGAGTAGCCTGCACTCATAGTCCTGATCCATGATGTCTGAAAACAAGATAAACAAATCAAGACCAATTCATACCACCGTTCCCCAATTGTGACTAAAAAAAATACTTCTGATAAACAGTGATAACTCTTTGTCCTTTGAGAAGAAGGTCACTTGATAAGTACTTAATTATTACAACAACAACAACAACAACAACAACAACAACAACAACAACAACAACAACAACAGTCTACTGACTAACAGTTGGCTCATATCAGTTCCCATCCCTGTTAAGGTTTTCCATTTTAACAATATAACAAAGAAAGAAGCAGCAAACAAAGCACATTATCTGGAGTTTTTTGTTTAAGAACTTACTAATACAATGAATTGATTATCAAATCTTTTATTTTTTTTAAGTATTCTTGTTTCAAGAAATTGATCAATAATCGGTTTCAGTGACCCTGACAATTGATTTTTTTAAATTACAAATAATAAAACTCTGCAAGCTTTCTGAAAAAAAAACAACGTAATTTAATGAAAAACGATTTAGACAATTAGTATTACATTCAGCACAAGACACGAGTATTATATTTGTGTTACTAAAAGATATATTTCATTTATGATATTGAAGAAATGAGTATGCAGTCCACTTCACCACTGACTTCTTATTACCCTCATAAACAATGACTGTCTATTGCAAAAACAAAGTGTATTTTACAACCCAGACACACCATATTAAAGAAGAAAAGGGAAACGATGACATTAGTTACAGTGCAGATGATGAACTCCTGGTGGACTCAGTCTTCTGCTAACAACACAACTTTAAGTGTCTTTGCGACAACAGCAATTTATGACTGTAATACTATTCAAACAGCAGGCCTTCACACGCTTAGTCTGTCCTGCAAAAGCACTTGGGAATTTAAGCTTGTTTGTAATTGTAACAATGAAATCCATTGATTAAATTATCAAATAATCCAATCACCCAACAAACAAGAGGTTGGCTAATGCTAACACTAGCGCTACCGTATGATACGTTAGCTAACCGGCTAATGGATTAGCAACATTGTTTGTTCTCAGCCTACACTAGTTTAAATACCTACCGTGACCGGATAAACGCCTCCCGTTTAAACGCCGTGACAGTCTTATTTCACTGTTGTTGGTTTTAGTGTGAATCGTTTGTTTTAAAGAGTTATTTTTCCTACAAACAGAGCACACACTAAATAACAAATGTTTTCTTTCACCGAGCGTTCAATTTGGTCTCGCCAAGGATCACGGGAAGGATGTGACGTCACTGATTTTGAATCACACTTTTCTTCGTTGCTAAGGAAACCCGGCAGTCACAACGTGTTTACTGAGCCCACATCTTCAGAGGGTCACCTAATATTTACAGTCTGTGAGGCAGAGCACACGTGATTAACTCAAAACACTACAATGACAACAAGGGAAATAAAAAACACTTCTCAAATTAAATGTTATGATGTTCTTAATGCTGGTATTAACTGCTTTAAAAATGATGTTAAGTATTGTTTTTAAGCATTGACTTATTAAAGTGATTGACTTGATAAATAGTTTGTCCAATTATCAGCTTTACTTTGCAGATCAAATTGCTTTTTACTACGTTAGACACACGTTGGAGCATTATGTTTATTTCCTGTCACGCATTATTGTACTTACTAAAACACTTATTTATTATTACTTATTAAACACTCACATTTCATTGTAGTTAAAGACAGCCAACAAGAATGTACAACTAATTTTAAATGACTTTATTAGTAAAATAAAAGTGTTGCCAGTGAAACAAACGTAACCGAACATGAAGTCAAATCAGAATGAAAACATTTATGTGCAAAAGTTTAAAATGAATACACATTCAATGACATGTTTCTGGGCAGACTCCTGATTTAAAACTAAAGATATACACATATATTTATTTAACAATTTGCAGGATACAGCAATGCCACATAGTGAAATGTTGAGAGCAAAATGTCACCTCAACATTAGCAGCTACTGTGTTGTAGCCACACTGACAAAAAGCTTAAAAAAAAGAAATGTTAAAAAAAGTCAAGTCACGAGCCATTTGTCCCAAAATGGTCATACAGCTTAGCTAAAGGAGTCTGATACAAAGTGCCACATACAAAGTACAGTAGGTTCAAGTCAATTATTGAAAATTCATGTGAAAAAAAAAACTCCCAGTGATGTGCAAAAGTAGTTTTAAAAACATACATCTCTAAATTAGCTGGATTATAATTGAAAAATTGGATCACATTAAATCATTACTCAAAATGAAAAGAAGGGAAAAACTCAACAGCTCAAAGGGCCCATGCAGTTAAAAATGCCAAGTTTAAGATATCCAATAATCCTATACTGCTCCAAAGGAATTATCATATTTATTTCAGCATCTTTAGCACGCCTTACCACTGCACCAATGTACTTTTTAGGCTTGTATTTATTAGCTGATTAGTTGAATATTTCATTTTTGAATGGTTGTACACAGGGTGCAAAGTTAACCAGAGTCAAATCCCTTGTTTTCACAAACATACCTGGTCAATAAAGCTGATCCTGATCCAGTGTGCATTTACTTAACTAAAATTAGTTGTCACCAAATATGTCTTGGATAACAACATTAAACACACTTATGTGTAGGATACGGACAGTATTGAAAAAGTCACAGCCAAAACTTGACAGCATCATTACAACCAGATGCTCTCAAAGTCACATTGTCTAGAAGTACAGCCTGACCAGTAAAAAATAGAATATAAAACATGTTTCATACAGAACCAATAGACCAAGGCATAGTTTGATTATGAAAAAGAAAATGGTGCATATAATCCCACAAACTAAGAAAGATATTACTTAAATGATTGATATGAAGAAAAGTTTAGAGTTATCCCTTTGCACACATCAGATACTCTACTCGTCCTCTATGTAAGTCTGGAGCAAGCCTTCAAAACAACCAGAGCAATTAAAATAAACATGCTCATGTCATAGATGACAAGCCAATGGAGTGAATGTTGAAGATACAGGTTGAACTAAAACAATATTTGGAACATCTGAACACAGGACGTTGTTTTACAGGGAGGAGGTATCTCTCATCATCAGTTGCAGGCCATTGCTGACCTGGAAGCGAGCTTCATCTGATATGCCATACTGCTCCAAGGGGTCCTGAACACAAGGGACGTCAAGAATAAAGAATAAAATTTGACTGTTCATTTTCAGCAACATCCCACACCAAACCATTTTCTGCACTATGCTTTGAACAGGTTTCATTGGAAAATATTTTTTCTTTACACTTAATAAAAGACAAATCCAAAAGCACTAAGTCTTTCTCTCCTACCCATCTATCTTCTGCCAATATTTGTGATACTGATTTTATCAGTTGGCGGAGCCTGGCAGACAAACACTTTACACTTTACTTATTCCCAGTATGTTGGATAAAGCACCATCTGTGTGGCATTAAGTGAATCACTGTGCTACTTTGGGTCTTACCTTGCCGGTGAGCCTGTGGATTTCTGTTCTGTAGAATATCAGGTTCTTCCTCATGAACTCATAACTACAGAGATAGGATGAAACAATTGGGGGTAAGACAGAAGTTCGGTACCAACTTGACTTGTAACCTGGTGATGATGATGACCTGTTGATGAACTTGTTTCAGGTCAGTACTTCCTTTGAATCAAATCTATGGCTGTTTTATAAAGAATATCTTGAAAAACAAGGAAAAGCAAATGTGAATTAAAATGTGGAAAAAGTCACTTTAGCTTCATAGTTACCAACAGTCCATAACACTTAGCTTGTTATAATTTGAACTGAGAATTTAAGAAATATAGTTTCACGTGAAAATGTAATAATAATAATAATAATAATAACCGGTTATTGAAACTATAAGCCATCAACTGTGTTTCAAATGGAGAATACAAATATCAGGTAATGCCGGGTCCTAAAACCTACATGATGGAAATCAAATAAGAAAAACACTCTTTCCTACCTGGCTTTGACGATGCAGTCTATCCACTCGCCACACTGCTCCTCAGAGTCACACTCAAACAGGTACTTCCTCTCTGCTTCATCCAGAAATGCTTCAAAGAGAAACACACAGAGTTACCTAGATCTAATGCCAGAACACAAACAGTAACCGTTAGATAAAGAAAGGCCTGGCCAGTACCTTACATTGGTGATATATTTTGTTGATTTGGGTTAATTACAGATATATCAGTTTCAAGTGCATATAATGAAATTCTTTCTAAAGCTAATTTTTATTTATTTATATTATTATATTATATTTTGGGGCTTTTGATGCCTTTATTTACACCAAGTCAAATTCCTTGTATGTGTAAATGTACTTGGCAATAAAAACCCATTCTGATTCTTTAGAGATAGGACAGTGGATTGAGAGAGAGAGAGAGAGAGAGAGAGAGAGAGTGGGGAATGACATTCGGGAAAGGAGCCACAGGTCGGATTTGAACCTGGGCTGCCCGCTTAGTGGACCACATAATGCTATTTATTTTACAGAAAATATCAGAAATAATCAGTGAACTACAAATTGTGTAATCCATTTGCCAATAACAGTCTCATCACTCTCTGTATCACATATAGTAGAGAATTACAAATAATAGACACCAATTTGTTGATAATGTAAAAAAAAAAAAAAAAGATAAATTGTTTATGTTTTAAAGAATGCAGCCTTCAGAGTGTCTTTGCAGAATCATATTGTGCTAATATTGTTGCCTTACCCTCTAATATATAGTAGATATCTGTATTAGTCTCAAAATCCCTTATTGGTGCTTCTCAAATAAAAAGTCTAAAATAATGGAATTTGACACATGTAACTATTGTTGTTCAGTGACTTATCAACTTAAAAGTTTGTACTGGAAAGCTTATGACAAAGTGTAAGTTTGTCTCTGCCATACAGTGTAACTCTTTAAATGCTGCAGTTCACCAAGAACGGGTGTTATGGGCAGGCATGATTATTATCAGAACTGTATATTTCATTTGGTTGGCATTTAATGCTATAATTATTTCGGCAGTGGATATATTCATACTTGTTCAAAATGTTTTTTTGTATTCAACTGTCCTGTAATATTAATGAATGGAATATGATGTTTTTTGGGGAATGAAATGTCTGAATGAAAAGATTTCATTTCTAAAAAAAAAAAAAACATATAAGGTTGAAGTACACCCTCTGCTGGTGGTGTGTAACATAAACCTCTCAAAGGTTTTGAAGGTTTTATTTTTCAAGTCAGTGGGGGGCTTCACTGCAGCCAGCACCGAGCTAACTTTGTTTTGATATATATGTTTGGATAAACATTTTTCAAGTATGAGCTACTGCTAGCAGTTTTGTATGAGATTTTATTCATCATCAAAAAGACTTCTGTAGTTTAGTTAGTCCTAGCCTGAGCCACAGCCCCTAAGTGTGAGTAGACCATCATCATAGAGTATCATATCTGTGTACACTGTTTTCCTGCCACAGTCATTGTTTGTTGTATCATTTTTGTACAAGTGACTCTTCATAAATAGTTCCAGCTAGATGGTTGAAATATTTGGTCTTATTCAGCGGATGTTTTCCAATGTCAAGTTATAGACATGTGAGAGAGTAGAACAATGTCCTCTGAGCAGCCTCTATTGTCAGGGTTGTTTGATGTGTAGTGCTGTCCATGATGTTAACACAACTGTTATGATGTCACAGTGCTTCTGACTTTGTCTTTTATTTATAACTGACTGAGGCCTCAAACCGTTTGTGTATGAACTGCAAGGTGTTACGAGACTATATGTTATTGCATACTATTACATTCCATCTATTTCCCAGTTTGGGATCAATAAAGTGCATCTATCTATCTATCTATCTATCTATCTATCTATCAATCATAATTATATGCCACTGAAAAATAAACGCAGGTGTGTCATAATGAATACATTTTGTATACTGAAAATAAGCATATAAACTTCGGTGTAGCTCTGCTGGTGGTGTGTAACATAGACCTCTCAAGGGTTTTTGTAGAACTATTTGTTGTGAATCCGTTTTTGTATGAAAAGTCTGAAAATTATAACTGGTTTTATAGGCTGCCCCATAAAATTCAAATGCCAGTTGTTTGTTTGTTCTGGCTCCAGGGCTGAGCTTACCAATAGAGAAGGTCAAGCTGTCCTCCTTCTCCACCCGACACTGCTCCAGCAACAAAGCACCGATTGGCTGAAAAGATCAACAATGGCTTAATTTTCGACACAACACGGTGTTGTCCCTTGGGGAAATTGACTGTCTGACGCAGTACAATGAGATA